GATCCTCTCATTATTTAGAGGTCACTGTCATAATAAATGCCAATAACCATACAACCCTCAATATTTAGCACCATGAGCAGACAAACTGTACATCATCCAATCATGAGTACAATTAAGGTGAGACAAGGCCAGTCAAGTGCCTGCGTGTCATTTTAACCTGGTTATCAGCACCTGAATGATGCAACCTTACCAATGAATCTGAGCATGGCTATTAATTCACCGAGTGGAGAAACCTCTCCAGCTGGTTAAGCAAGAACCTCTGGCTCTTCTTGTTCTTTTCACTGAGAGGATACCAGTTCAAACCAAGGTTCGGCAATGCCAATTATTCTTCCTTTTCTCTTCCACAGCTTTCAACCTTACCCAAGAAGAAGAGTAAAAGTGGCCCCAATGACAGTATGGATCAAGACTAATATGACAACACAAAGTGAAGCTGTTGAAACAACCTGTCAGGAGCAGAGAAGCTATTGTCTAAACAGCTGGGAGAGTCTCTTACACAAGATATAATCAAGCACCTTTGCTTATTTGAAGTTGACACAATAGGGTTGTCAAATATAATTACTACATTTATTTATAAGAAAACATATCTGTGTAGTATTATTTGCTTTTAGGGTTTTTTATTGGGGGGGGTTGTTTTGTTTTAAATATAACAAAAACTAAACTTGGGAAACTCCAGAGATCAGAATTTGGTTAATTCAAGAATCAACAAGTATTAAAATTTACTTCTTAGGAACATCAATATATGTCCCTAACTTCAAATAAAGGTTATAAAGAAAGTAAAGCTGAATTTGTTTCATTCATCCATTCCAACAAGTGGATGTTTTGTCAGCATAAGCATATATGTGCAGGTATAAATTGAGATCAAAAAGTCCTTTTTACATTTTGGGAACTAAAACAAGCTATATATATTAACTGGCTAAACATATAACAAACCTTAAATGACTAGTGAGTGAAAATTTTGTAATTTTTACTTTTATTTTTGGATATGTATTAATTCATTCTTAGATTCCATGTCTTTTTTAAAGTTAATACTGTTAATAAAGTTTAATACTGAACACACTATACATTTTAATGCTTCTATAATGCTTTTTAATGTTGTTTAAGTCATTCCAGCCAAACAGCAAATAAATGTTTCTGGATCCGGCCTACTTGTTGTATAACAAGCATATTTACCTCCCCCTCCCTCCCCTCCCTCCCCTATCATTGTTCTATATAATGCTCTTGGAAAAGGGGTCCATTCAAAATGGCCTAGGCCTAATTAATAGTTTTTACTTCACTGACATTTAGGACTTCCTTCCTCCTTTTACTTTTAGTTACCTACCCCCCCCCCCGTGCTTTTTTTGTTTAAAAAAAACACACACATCATAAAACCCGCCTTGCCTATCCTACAAGGTTCCATCCAAAAAAGGTGCCGGAACTCCGTTCTGGGCGTTCTATGACAAAAAAAGCCCTGCCTACCCCTCTTTTCCTCATTTAATACACAATTATATTTATAACTGCAGAAATAGAATATAATCTCACATCTTTAGTTTCAGAACACAATGTCTGACTGTGATTTTAAAAAAATATCCAACATTCTTTTAACAGAAATTTAGGGCAAAACTAAGTTTCTAATCAACATATCTTCTCTGTGCATAGAAAGTGGGCAGACACCTGTTCCACTGATTATAGTGGGATAGGCAAGTAAATCATGTTTGCATCTAATTGCACGACAATAGCCCAAGCATAATTACAGCTCTCCCCAAATTCTTAAGCATCAGGGATTCATACTTCCAACCTAAAGTTTCACACTTTACATAGAACAGTGGTTCTCAACCTGTGGGTCGGGACCCCATTTGGGGTCGAGCGACCATTTCATGGGGGTCGCTAAACAACGCAGTCCGCCATTTTTTCCCCCTTTTCCTTAGCTGTGCTACTCCCTTTTATTCTATTGGCTTTTGAAAGCCAATAGAATAGACTCTCTGGAATAGAGTCTAATTCTATTTGCTTTCAAAAGCCAATAGGAATTGTCCAGGCTGTCTCTGCCCTGCTGAGCCCGCCAAAAGTCCCATTCTGCAAACGGTGCTGCACCAGTTAAGTAGTCCTCGACTTACGACCAGTTGAGTAGTCCTCGACTTACGACCGGTTGGGGGTTGCAGCATTAAAAAGGTTGAGAACCACTGACATAGAATATATCAGGCTTAAAATCATGAACCCAGTCACTGGGTTCATCATTTTCCTGAACATATAACTATTCCCAATACATGTGTTTCCCTAACAATGAAACTAAGGCATTAAAAAACCCCACTATCATTCCAGTTACATCCCACCCACAAAGATATTTATCATTTTATAAGCACTTCTAAATAACTAGCAAGACAATATCTGTGGGCATATAAATATAGGAGCCATTAGGCTACACTCTAGTAGTGCAAGTATATCCTTCCTTTTCTTGTCAACCTCCCATTTGCTCTTAAGCATATTCTATATGCCAACACATACACAGAAAATGAGGAAACCTATAGGAGAAAGGGAATACATTCCCTAAAGCATACTGACACCATAGGATACGTTGCAGGGTAGAAGAACATTTCCAAAGAAAGCACTTATCAAAGTATCAAAGGTTCTGAAAAAACATGTATGATAAATCCTGCTAGGTATTTAAACTTCAAGCTATTAATAACGCTTCTTGCTCCTGGAACTGGAATACTTGCTGCCACTTATAAAAACTAACATAGAAAAGAGAATCATGTGTTCACAGAAATCCTACAGCAGAGCCCAACAACATGTTACATATCCTATTCCTAGAAAATACTACTTCCAACTTCCATCTAATAAACTGAAAAGTAGTGGAAATGCAATTACTCAGAAGATAATAGAATACACAAATATAAAAACAACTAAAACAGAAAAAAACAGCAGTCAAAAGTAAAAAGGGATTAAGAACATAAAGATCAGCAGTTTACGCAGGCCATTACAACTGCAGTTTATCTGGCTTTCATCCTAGTCTTCACTATCAATGTTTCTTGTACATGAAAGTACCACATCACGGTTCTACCCAGAATTGGCTCAGATTAAACTTTTAGGGGGAAAATGCTGAATACAGCAACAGGGCGGGGGAAACCAGGAATGGTAAATAAATCTAAAAATAAGTGCTCTGGGATCAGCATTTGAATCTATTTGCTAGGGAACTTAGTAGGTCTGGAGGCCAGATTAAAAAAAGAGAATTTGTTTGCCTTACAAACAGATCATGGGCAGACTCCCTGGCAAGACAAGAGCAAACAGGCTATTGAACTTTCTGTAAAAGTCATATAATAGGATTGTATGCCAAAAGAGAACATTATCAAAAAATGTTCAAAAAGGGAAATTACCATTTTCAAGAAAATGTTCCCATAAACATTACCTAATATACTATGTTAAGATATAATTGAGTATTCCAATATATTCAATAGCTTTAAAATTGCAAGTTTGCAGCAAAAATTGTGAGAGAATTACTTGGCCCCTTCAATGTATTTGATTACCACTGTCACATTAGGAAATCAACAATATAATCAGACATTAAGAGGTTAACTTTAACGGAATACTACTACTATACAAAGGAAAAGGCACAGGCCTAACCCTCTTCAGATGTAATATTAATAGTTGTACAAGGAACAGCTAGTTTCAAATGGTTTATGTACAAACCAAAATAAGCAAGTTTCAGGTTTTTTGTCCAGATACAGTTTTAAACAGCTGTTTTATTGTGGACATGGGTTAAAAGTTGTTCAGATGGTACATTTTCAGCTTCTCTAATTGGATGGTTTTCTTTGCTGCTATCTAATGGTCATCCAGATTTTGATAGTCCCAAATGCTTAATCTGAATCCTACTGCTTTCCATAGACAGAACTTCAGGAAGTATATCAAGTGTTTATTCTATTGAAACAAAGAACAGTAAAAACATTTCAGCTTTTGTTTCTACCAAACTACACTTGGTCCAAAATAATTTGGGGGATGAAATCCTTTGTTTTATGTTTAAAACAAAACTCATTTTTCATTTTTTGTGGCCCTCCCTAGAAACTGACAAAGAAAATGCTCACTTTAACAGTGGACTTCACTGCCTTCCAAGCAGTGACAGTTTCTACAAATTATCAGATTAATATAGAAGATCTGAAAGGGGGGGGGGAAATAGAGACACATTTTTCCAAGCTGTCTTTCCACCAGCTCAGTCTAGCTGTATCAGTTTCATGCCTTACAAAGGAACACGAGTACCCAGCATGCAGCTTTCCCCTAAATACCAATTTAAAATTGTATTCGAGTATATTATATACAGATTGAACATGTTAGAGAGATCCAAGAGCTTCCCCTTCAGAGGTCACGTGAACGGAAAAAAGTGTGAGCCGTCCCGCCAAGGCCTAAAGAATACCATAAAGGCCAAGGTGGTCAAATTTAGAAGTATTGGAAGGAAGGGGGGAGGGGAGAGAAAAGACGTTTGTTTATTTGTTCGTGTTTGTTTTCTTTAACGAGCCAGATCTCCAACTACCAACCTCCCGCCCGTTTCCAAAGCACCCCACCCTCACAACCGCAGCCTTCGCATAATAATCTCTTTGCGACATTGGGACAAGAAAGGAGAATAAAGAGAGTAAAGAACATTTAAACGCACTCTCATCATCGCAGCTGCTGGGGAGAGAGAGCGGATGGAGAAAAGTCACCCATCTCAACCCAAGGACACAAGGAGCTCTGCGTGCCAAGCGTCCGTAGGGCTGGCACCACCAAAGGGGAGGCGGGGGAAAACACCCTGCCCAAATCGCACTTCGGCTGGTCTGCACACTGACGTGGGAAGGGAAGCACTGAGAACTTCCACGCGGACACGAGAGAGACTGCCCTGCGGTGACAGACTGCAGCCCCTTTTTCTCCTCTCCCCCCCCCCTCCCGAGCCAAGCCCAAGTCACGGCAATAGCAGTCATGGTGCTCGCAAGAACAGCCACCCACCCACCCCCGAAAAAGGGAAGCAGCAGAACGGAGGGGGGAGGGGGGGAAACCTTCACCTTGGCTCCCAACAGGCGCGCGGCCGCCCTGCTACCGGCAGTCAACAAGGTCATGGCGAGCAGCGACCAAACTGGCGTGGCGGCGAAAGGGAAAGCAGAAGCCGCCCTCGTGAGGGGACCGTCCTGGAGGCGGGCAGAAAAAGCAGGCAGCGAACACCCGGGGGAGGGGGGGGCAGGGGAGAAGACGAGCTGGCTGAGCCGGGCTGGGTTCTGGCAACGTCAGGGCGGAGCAAGGCTGGGAGAAGGCCCAAAGCAGCATTAACAGAGTATTGCCCAAAGAGCTGCGCCTCTTTTCCGGCGGCGGGGGAGCACTGCGATTGGCTGCGAGGCGGTGATGGGCAGGCCTGGCTGCGCGCGGAGGGGACGGGAAGGGCGGGGTCGAACGTTGAGCGAGGCGTCCCATCTAGGCATCGGAGAAGGCGCTTTAGCGCGCCAAGCGCGTTTCCGCTTGTCAGCGTTGGTTTAGTGAGCCTAGGCTTCCCGTTTTGCGAGGGTGGGAAGCAGTTCTGCTCTCAATAAAAGTTAATCTCTCTCTCTCTCTCTCTGTCTGTAACTGTGGCGTCCCTGTGGTTTCTGAGGGTGCTGATTTGCTTGCAAACGTTTCATTATCCGACTAGGTAACGCCACCATTGGTCGCTACTGTGAGGTTTGCACAGTATATATATTTTATATATCAGCTTTGTTTAGTCAGGGGTAGAAGGTCTGCAGTCTCCAGAGAATTACTAAGTCATAATGTTAAAATTCTTCAGCAAAAAAGGCCAATTTTCCCCTGTGATTAAAACAGGAATAAAAATATTTGTGACCTTGGTCCCATGCTCAGGCACATCTTGTGCTCCGCAGGAGTTAACATAACCTTTTAATAATTTGCTCATTACTGGTTTTGTACAATTGTGAATCCAGCCAGGTTGATACATAGCTTAATGCAATGTATAAATTGGGGTAGTTTTTAAGGATATACTTAACTTTACAAAGCAAATGCAAAGCAATTGCAAGGTGGAAGAACCATGTGTCACAGGACCGTTTCACCTGGAACAAACATGGCTCAAATTTTCCACTGTTACAAGTACAATTAAATCAATTCATTTAGTTACAGAACATATCTTGTCCTTTGACTCAAGCAAAAGTACAGGAAAAGCCCAACTCTCCTTAAAGCAATTTACAAACACCATGCCTTCAGCTTTTTACAAAGGCCTCAATCAGCAGTATGCCTCCTTTCAATGCAGTACTGTAGTTGAACATCACTCAGCACTGTGCTTGTATTGACATATTGCAGATCGGAAGAGTGATAAGGCAAGAGATATTGCAGGACAAAGGCTTTTCCTTAGCTGGTGGGTTGGTTTATGCCTCTTGCTCCATTTGGCTGAGTGCCTTACCTATTGCATACCCTTCTGAAATCTGCAAAGTTCCAAATACACATTCTGCTTTTAACCTGTATTCTTTCACAGCCGATAGATGACAGCGCAGAGTCCTCAAACTGAATTAAAATGTCATTTAGCATTCCTAAATGCAAGAGATTTTTTTTGTCCATGAGTAATTCAAGATATAGACATCCCTTTTCTATATAGAAATGTATGTAAATTTCTATGCAGAGCAAGTGGAAGAGGGATAACAGCATCTTAGCAAGACAACCATTTTTGGATGTAAATGTTTAACATTTTTTTTACATGAATATACAATGCACACAAATTTGACTTTGAGAATGAAGGTTGTTCCTTATGGAAACATAATCTCAGTATTTCCACTTGGTGCTTTTTTTCCCAGATTGTCACAAATTAACAGAGCTGTTTTAGAAAGATCCACAGAAGCCATGACAACTATCAAAGTAGAGATAACTCAGTGGTAATTTTTCTTTCAGGAGACTAAATAGCCTTTGAAAAATGTTTGGCAATTTTTGTTAATTTAGAATGCAGCAACCTATACTACAGATCAGCAATATACATTCTGCTGTGAGAATCCCAGTGTCATTTCATCTACACCAGTCATTCTCAACCTTTTTAATGCCGCGACCCCAACCGGTCGTAAGTCAAGGACTACTCAACCGGTCATAAGTCGAGGACTACTCAACTGGTGCAGCACCGTTTGCAGAATGGGACTTTTGGCGGGCTCAGCAGGGCAGAGACAGCCTGGACAATTCCTATTGGCTTTTGAAAGCCACTAGAATTAGACTCTATTCAAGAGAGTCTATTCTATTGGCTTTCAAAAGCCAATAGAATAAAAGGGAGTAGCAAAGCTAAGGAAAAGGGGGAAAAAATGGCAGACTGCGTTGTTTGGCGACCCCCGTGAAATGGTCGTTCGACCTCAAATGGGGTCCCGATCCACAGCTTGAGAACCACTGATCTACACTTAGTTGCCAGTCTGCTTCTGAGCACAATTCAATGTGGTGGTCTTAACTTTGAGCACATTTTGACTTCTTATTGCTTTTCTTGCCTTTTGGTAAATAATTTAAAATGCAAATTACCTGATCATTTTCTGCCTAATGAAAAAATTTTTTAAATAAAGGCAGAAAATACAACCAGTTGATGCTTTGACAAGTTTCACTGCTTTCCAATGGAAATTGAAAATATAAGGAAGACATCAATCTGGTTCATATTGTACTGAACCATAGTTTAACAATTATTTACTAAATAAACTACAGCTGGCCATGTTTGCACAATATAATAAATCAAATCATTTTAAGGCTAAGCTCTGTATATGAGCTGTACAAAATCATTTTATAGTAACTGTATTATGTGAATTTTTAAAAATCTGCATAACAATGGGTATATAGCTCCTATGTAGGAGGGTAAATTATGGCATTCTTTGTCTTAGTAATCTTTTTCACCATCCCAGACCAGTAGTATTTCATATTAGATACAGTAAGTAGTTAAAGTTGAAGGACATAATGGAAGCAAACCAAAGGCTTGTAATATGATTTGTGTGATTGTGACTTAATATGGCATGTGAATCCAGCATGGTTCTGGGCATTATCTGAATAAATTTGGGAGGCTATATATTTGATGTTTTTTTCACCTTCCACCCCATTGGAAGGTGAAAAAAAAATCTAAGATTGTTGTTAATAGCAGTAAAGTCAATATGCTCTATAATGCTTTAATATTATTTTCAATTAAAAATGGAGGAAAAAAAACAGTAGCCAATCTGACTAGGTCCCAATTCCAATTTATTATCTTGCCATCACTGGAATGTATTTTATCCTCTCATGAAAACATAGGTTAAAAGAAACTGTTATAAAAGATGTAAAAAGCCTGTAGAAGAGTACATCTTCCCCATTCTCCAAATGTCTGATGCCCCAAATCAGCAGATTCCTGAATCTCACTCACATCTCACAGCAAGGTAGCAGTCATTTTATGTAATAATTTAAAAAACAATAAAAGGACTGTTGTGTGGTGATCACTCCACATATAGACAATATAGACCGGCTTGCTATCTGGCCTGAATGTTTTGTGCAGAATCTCTGTAATATGGCCAATCATTCCTAGAGGCCACTTTTTGAGGTCCGGTGGCTTTTCACACAACAAAATTAAACCATGTAATAACCAACTGGATATGTTCTACAAATACTCCATCTACAGTATGGAGCAATCCCTGCACAGTAACAATGTTATGTGGTTCTCCATATGGCCATCACAACCATAGTTCACAGTTGTGTTGAAGACTGGGGAGGTGCTATACAATGGTCCCCTCTTTGGCTTTATAATGAGGGCATCTCTATAGGTTCTATTTATCTTTCCCATTCAGAGAAAGGTTTTACAAATGACTGTCCTGCCCCTTTAATAAGACGGGTTCAAGAGTGAGAGTAACATTCACAAGATTCTTCTGTTCAAATTCTATTTTGGAAGTGAATGTGGAAGTTGTATTGCTGGTTGCTTGAGCTAATCTGCAGTCAGAGTTTGCATATAACCGCAAAGCATTTTTTACTTTAAAAACTAGACCGCATTAACAGTGTCAATGCTACTGCAAAGTGGACTTTGATGATGATAGAAATCTCTTTCCTTTTACAAAACAATCTAATTAGTGTGTGCTTAAAAAAGTCAAATGTTGGATCTATCATCTTCTGTTTGCTTCAGAAAATTCTACAAAGAAACTTGTCTTGGGATTTTTTTTGCTCTCCTCTGATACAGTCTAGTCTTCAGTTTCTAGGATGTTCTGCACTTTCCCCCAGATTGAAAGACAACTCCTGAGACAATAATTACAAGTGCTTGTAAAAAGGGATGTAGTCTACAAAGAATTAGGCAAAGTCTTCTACCAGGTCAGTCAACCTTTACACTTCACAGTTCATCATGTGGGAGATGTAAGGCATGGTCACACAGATCTATAAAAAAAAGCATAAATTTTTATTATTAGAAGAACTAGAACGTCCAGCTAGCCAGCATGACTAGTTTACACTTATCCAATATAATATCAGTACCTGTTCCCAAGAATATTATCACAGAAAACATACCTCTACAATCAGCAATTTTTGAATCTGAATTACTTCCCTAGCTAGGCTAATGCCAGGGAATTCTGGAAATTCAAGGCTATCCACCTTTTAAGTTATCAAGATCTAGAAACACTGTTCTAAATCTAATGTAGCTTGTTTCACCTTGCTAAACCTGTTTACAAACAAAATCATTATGCTTTGTGAAATATGTAGTATTTACCATTTGCCAACAAAACCATATGGGGTTTATTCAATCACAGAGTTTTAAAAACCACATCTTGCAATCAATTATTTTTAGAATCCTGCTAATTATTTTGAATAGTTATATACGCATATTTAGATTTTACTTTGATTAATCATGTAAGGACACTCCAAAAAAGACAAGACTTAAGGTGAAATTATTCTATTTGTGCCTTTTCTTAGGACTAATCTTGTTTATGCCTGCCTGCCTGCCTTTCTCTCACCTTAGATTCTGTAATTATAAATCAACCCATTTTAAACCTTATCTCCAAATTCTAATAGTGACTCAAATTATTATTTTTGGACAAGAGGAAGGCTCATCAGAAAGATGTAATATTCTCATTTTAATTAATCTCTGGTTCCATAAGCCTACAAAGTTATGACCCAGAAAACTTGCCTGCACACCTGCCAGCCCTATTATTTTTTTCCTGAAAGCCTGGTCTATCTAGCTTAAGAGGCCTACTTACAATTTTTGTATGGAGTTCCATCTACATTTCCTCTTTCACATTGAAAGCTAGATCACTGATGACTCAAAGACTGGCAGAGGATCAGAGTTTACTGTACTTAT